CCCCATTAGCAGAAGCCTCTCAGATTGTTCAAGGACGCTGACTCAGACAAGGCCACTACTCTGCAAGCTGGTACAGCACAGCTGAGACAGACCTTTTAGAAATCAAATTTACCTTACTCCTTTCTAGTTTTATTGCTTATTTTTCCTCCAACTCTGCATGCAATTTAGATAAAAAGGGGAATAAGGCAGATTAATATTAGGATGAAAAGCACAATTAAAACATGCACATGCAGTGATCTTTAGCAGGATTACAGAGTGCAGGATGAGACCACGTCATGGGAAAACACAAGCACAGGCTTAAAGCCTCTCTAAATGGGAAGGGAAGCTTAGCTTCCAGGTGGTCCTGTGGCCACCAGCACTGACAGTGCTGCAGTAAAAGGTTTTTAAGACAAATGCAGTCTTCTAGCAGTTTTTAGACATGTTAGTGTTGCCCACTTTTCACAGCACTAAGGTTTGATCAAACCTCATCCCACTTCCCAGCAGCCTCATGACAAAGCAGCATTCACTGTGTTATTTACCCATGTTCAAAACTCCAAGCATTCTCTTACAAGGCAAAAGGAATGAAAACACATTACCAAGAAAAGCAAACAGAAGAAATGCTTTACAGTACTTACACTTCCAGCCCAAAGCTCAGTGGATTCTCCTATTAGTTTATAATATACATACACCGCTTCTCCCTTCTTAAAATTTACAAAGCGACAATCCGGACCTTTAAAATCCCGCATGGCCTTCCCTCGACACATTAACACTGTCCAAAGAAAACACGGAGAAGAGTATGACTTTAAAAATAATTTACATGAAAAGTGTCTTTGCTAACTGGCAGTAAACAAGACCTCCTCGCATGCATCGTTTTGCTATTTTCCAGATTGGGTCAAGAGATAACAAAGTAAATTGAAAGTATAACTAAGAAATTAATAAATTAATAAAAATATAGATAAATTGGAAGTATAACTAATAACTTTTTAGCTATAATTAACAAAAACAAACAAGCCAAGTTATAGCTAAAAAAAAAGGCAAGTTTTAGCAGAAAAAGTAAAGCAAGCATTCTAGGCAAGACAAGGGTTTGACAAAGCACTGGAGAGCTACACTTCAGGGGTGAGCTATGAAGCTAATTACTAATGTTAAATCAGAAAGGTGACATCTGTGTCCCAGCGAACTGGTCCTGAAATTATCCCAGAGAACACCCAGAGAGCGGTTTTATCAACGGAGAGCTCTGCGTGGAGGGGGGTGGGGGAAACCAAACACGGAGCCGCGGGGATCTGAAAACTTGGCCGAGCAGAGAGGGACGGCGCGCGTGGGCGTCGCGTTCCCGTTTCCTCGATTGTCCCCAATTTCCGCGACAGAGCCGGCGCAAGGAGGGGGCTCAGGGAAGAGCCTCCGGGAGGCATCTTCGCGCACAGCTCCCTCGCCGGGGCCGCGCCCGCCGCCCCCACTCACTGCTGCACTCGAGGTCGGCGCAGCGCTTGCGCTCGGCGAAGCGGCGGCCCAGGTCGGGCGCGGCGGCGGCGCAGCGCGGGCCCGGCGGCGGCAGCAGCAGCAGCAGCAGCGGCAGGGCGAGCAGCAGCCGGGGCTCCGGCGGCGCGGCTGCGGCCATGGCGGCGAGCGCCGCGGAGGGAGGGAGCCGGGCCGGGAAGGAGGGAGCAGACACGTCAGCAGCGCCGGCGGGAGGGCGATGTGGCGGGGGAGGGACCAGCCCGGCCCCGCCGCCGCCGCCGCCGCGGGAGGAGGGCAGCGCACGGACCCTCCCTCCCTCCCTGATCCCCATCCCGGTCCTGAGGAGGCAGGACCCCTGACTCCGGCCAGTTTTCCCTCCTCGCAGGCCAGAAAAGAAGGAAGGTCCCGCCCCTTATTTGTGCGGGTTTCTCCAACTGAGGATCGCTGGAGTAACAAGAACAGAAAGGGTGTAGCTGCCGCCCTGTAAGGACGCGACAGATCCGAGCAAGCACTTGGCTGCTCTCCCTCCTGCCCCGCCGAGCAGTTCTTATCTCTGCTGGAGAGGAGCAGCCGCCACTTTGCCGGTGACCTCCGAGAGTTTGAGGTTACACCTGCGGTGCAGCGGGCGGAGGAGTTCATTCAGCCGCGATCCCACTGGGGAAAGTGCCGGGTTTCACAGCGGGCAGCCGAAAGCGCAGCATTCCTATCCTTGCCCTTCTGTAGCTGCAGCTTCCACTTGCTGGACATTTTAAGTGTTGAGTGTTTGCAAGCCGAAAGATGTGCTACTCACACTACTTACCGTCGCCTTTTCTTCACATCCAGCACCTTAATATTGCCTTAGAGATCTAAAATGGCAAAATGACAGCAGAAGTCACAATGCAGATGAACCAAACTTCTCTTTTCAACACCTGTGTTATTTGTTCAGCACAAGAGCCTGAGTAGACAAAGAGAAAAAAAGATGCAGGTAAGAAAGAACAGGTGACATAAGAGAATACTCTTGCTGGTCAATCAAATGACCACATTTTTTCTATTTTTTTCTACTTTCCAGAGCAAATTCTGAAGCTGCTCCCAAAATGAATGAATTGGTAATCAGAACTGATAGTCAAAGTTTAGTGTTATTTTTTTGTGGTTTTTTTTGTGGGTTTTTTTTGGTTGTTTTTTTTTTGGTTTTTTTTTGTTTGTTTGTTTGTTTGTTTGGTTTTGGTTTTTTGTGATTTTCAGAACAGCTGAGGGTTTTTTCCAAGAGCTTTTTAGGAGCTCTTTTAAATGCTACATGCTGATTGCATGTGCTCCTCTTGCATCCTCATTCCTATTGATTTTCACTCCAGACTCTCATTTCCACAGTCTCATTGTACAAGGCCTTAGATCCAAGCTTAGTTACTACTGTGTAATCTCTGAAAAATATGTGTTTCATTTTCAGTCCCCATCTAGAATAGCTTAATATTTTAATCACAAAACGAAAAAGTGTCAAGTGTTGATACCTCTTTGCCCAGCATCCCATGGACACCCTGGCATTTCTTACAGTCCTGTGTATCCCCAGGACCCACAGGCTACATGAATGCAATGGTTCATTCACCCAGTGCTCATGTCAGCTCTCCAGGCCTAGTGCAGTATAGTGGTTATAGCTCTCCTGCAATTTTGTTGACGTTTCTGTGCTTCACATCTTAAAAAATGAGGTGATCCCTATTTGACATCACTGATATTGGCTGATTAAAAGCTCTAAGAAAGCCTAACTTAGAAAATCTAGACGTTTGTCACAATTTACAATATGGAAGTAAATTCATTCAAGTCACATTATACGATAATTGTATGAGTGAAAGATAAGCATTCTTTCCTCAACATTAATATTTCATGTTGTATAATGCCCAGAGTATTAGGTCAAATTTCTTGTGAAGAAAGAGCTGTTATTTCCTATCAATACAATTTATCAAACTTTATTAAAGACCAAGATAAAAAAAGGTAATTGTGTCTGTGGTTGCAAAGACAAGGGCAAGAGGGAGATGTGAAGAAAAACAAAATCACATACTTCTTGTATAAGTCACTGCCTTTATTATACAATAATGAGCAGCTTGCAGTTGATACATATATACAAGTTTACCATTGCAACTGTCAAGTATTTCCTACAATATCAAGTATTTCAGGGTAATAAGGTAACCACTTATTAACATACGTAGCTTTCCTCAATGTGTGAAAGAAAAGAAAAATATTTCACTTAGTTCAATTAAGATATTTCAAGCAAAATTTCCTTCCAGTCTTCAACATCAATCTTGGATCTAGGATCCTTGGACCAATCTTGGAAACATGTATTCCGCCACTGTACACGAGGTATCTAACATTCACCTACTCTTAAAAAGCAGTTCTCCTACCTCTTCTGCACTAAAATATCTACTAAAGTAGCTGATACCCATTAACAAGATCAGTTGGCTAAGTTTACCTAAGGATCAGGAAACACATATGTATAACACAGGCAAATAAAAATAACAAGCCAAAAGTAAATGTTCTTGCATGCAAACATGAGAACTTTTACCAAAAAATGGGGATAAGTTGGATTCTGAAATTAGAATACTGAGCTAACAGAAGATCAGGGGTGTTGTAGGAAATGGCATCAAACTTGGGCAACACCAGTGATCAGTGAGGCACTCACACAAGGTACAAATTATAAAGAACAGTAAAAAAAAAAATGGCACTGATAAACATGTGGTGTTAAGTAACATTTTATTATTGTCAATCAGGTAAGTTAATTATCCATTAACAATACTTATGAACTGAAATGCTGGCCTTTATTGGAAGAACACAGGATTAAAAATAAAGAAAAAGCAAAGAGAAATTTCTGTTTTCCCAAAGTTTATTTATTAAATACCATATTAAGGTATGATATTGAGGTTTAAGTGTTTAAATGCTGCACACAACACAACTGTTCTGCCTTGCGCTGTTCCCAACACTGGTTATTGATCACAGCTGAACCAAAACACTGCATCACATGAACCTTTAATCTGAGCCAGTTTATTATTTACTCACTCTCCCATGCCAGGGCAGTTTAGGAAAAAGAAAAACAAAAAAAAAAACAACAACTCTGTGAGTACTCTTATGCAGTAAACTGGACTTTATACACATCAAAACAGTCCAGGGCAAACTTAGTTCCAAAGTGGCTAAAAGAAACAAGTTCCAGCACAGATTTGTATAAACCAGATGCTGCGGCTAAGGCAGCCGGACTCCCAAAATCCAGCAGGAGCACAGGCAGTATCATTGCTTTACAGTGCACAGGATATTGATTCGGAATATTTTCCTTCCATAGAACGTTATGACTTACAAAGGAACGGGAAAGTAGGAAAGAGTAACAGGAGGAGCTCGCTAATTTAATTTTTGGAGCAACCAGCGCATTAGCCACGGCTTTTCACGCTGATTGCGGCAGATATAGAAATAAACACCCCTCTGCCACCCCGCGCTCCACCCCGGTCCCGCAGCCCTCACGGGCCGGAGGAAGCGGGAAACGCCGCGCATGCGCCGCCCGTCCCCGCCGCTCACGGGGCTGGCGCATGCGCAGGGGCCGCTCCCACCCCGCGCTGCCGGGCGCGATCTCCCGGCCCCGGCCGAGCCCCGCACGGGGCGGTGCGAGCCCGGCCGAGCCCCGCACGGGGCGGTGCGAGCCCGGCTGCCCGCGCCGCCATGGACAGCTTCCTGGAGGAGGATGCGGAGGCGGTGGTGGTGGACGGGAAGAGAAGGAGGAAGAGGAGGAGGACTCCCGCCGCTCAGGCGGCCCTGCACGCGTCCCTGCACCTGCCCTTCCTGCCGCCACCGCCGGGTAAGGGCGGAGCGTTTGTGCGTTCCCTTCGTGAGCGCCTTCCTGCCGCCCTGGGAGTGATTTTAGCTTCTCTCCGCCAAGTCGTCTGCTAGGGCCGGGAAGGAGGTTCGAAATAACCTCTTCGCAGTGGTTATTTTGTGAGGGCAGGAGGGCCCATGGTGGAGGGAGGGGATCCTGCCCCTCTGCTCAGCCCCGCTGAGGCACATCTGGAGTGCTGTGCCCGCTTCTGGGCTCCTCAGTGCAGGAGAAACGTGGAGCTCCTCGACAGAGTCCATTGGAGGACACCAAGGATGATTTGGGGTCTGGAGCATCTCTTATGAGGAGAGACTGAGGGAGCTGGGCCTCTTTAGTCTGGAGAAGACTGAGAGGGGAATTCATTAGTGCATATAAATATCTTAAAGGCAGGTGCTAAGGGGATAATGCCACACTTTTCAGTGGTGCCCAGCAGCAGGACACGGTGCTGTGGCCATAAACTAAAGCACAAGAATTTTCACCTCATCATAAGGGAGATCTTTACATTGATGGTGGCAGAGCACTGTAACAACTGCCCAGGGAGTTTGTGGAGTCTCCTTCTCTGGAGACTTTTTCAGATCACACCTGGACACCTTCCTGTGTCACCTGCTCCAGATGACTCTGCCTTGGCAGGTGGTTAGACTGGATAATCTCCAGAAATCCCTTCTAACCCTGATGGTTCTGTGATTACCTGACTTAGCCATTGTTTGAGTTATTCACCTGCCTACAGCATCCTGGTAGGAGTGTCTTTATGAGCTCTCCATGTGCCTTGCAGGTGGCTTTTCATGGATGAGGATGAGCATTGTTGTAGGGTCATACAGCCGTGAGCTTTAAACACACTTCATGGGAATGAAGTTTCAGTTTCATGCTGGTTTCAGTATAAATTGGACTACTAGTGATGTAAAAAGGCCAAGGGGCCTCTTTGCAGCCTTGTACTAAAATGAGAATAATTCTCTGCATATAACTTTGTGGGAAATGTTTAGCCTTTGGTACTGGAATGGTCTGTTTGTTTGTGTGCATGCAAATCTGCAGCACCATGGCATCACCAATTTAGGTGGTGATTAATAAGTGAAGAAAGTAGTCCCCAAAATATGACAAAATGTACTGTGAAGTTACCAAAGCACCATGGCTCCCTGATTCTGGTAGGGCAGTAGTGTGACATAAGTGGCTATTCACTGTTTCAAATGAATGGGAATTTCAAGCACAGCTATGTACTGCTTATGGAAAATGCCATTCCATATCATGTTTCCAGCTTGTCCCATAGTCCTGCTCCCCTGTGGATTAACAGATGTGTTTATCTTCAAAACAGTATAACTTAAGATGACTCTCTAGTATCCATGCAAGAAAGATGCTGAAATGGAGAGCATGTGGCTATCTGAATAAGGGCTGTGATTGCTGTGGGCTCTGTTGATTTTTTTTTTTTGGTTGGTTGTTTTTTTTTCTTGTTTATTTAGTGTCTTCCAATGAACACAAGTTGAACTTCAAGAAGAGCAAGGAAGCGTGTTTAAGTTACATTCAGGATGCCTTGCTCCAAAAACAGTGGAAGAGGGCTGCAGAGTTTCTGACCTGCTATGTTGAGTCACTAGAGAAGGACTATTCCAGAGAGCGCATTGGTGCATCAGAGGTAAGCCCATGTTCCTGATCTGAGTTCTTTTGCAGTTGAAAAAATACTTGCAAAGCAGCATCCATATACTTCAGGACCAACAGCTGTCTTAATTAGCTAATCATAGGCTTGTTTTTATTTTATAGATCCTTGACACAACAGAAAAAGATTTGGCTTGTTATAAGTTCACTCCATCAGCAGTGTGGCTATGAAAAGTCAAAGTAGCCCTCTAAAATAGGAAAGCAGTAAATGTGTTTGGTTCTGGCATGTCATCAGTCAGAATCTGTTTGCAAGTTGGTGGCTTATTTAGGTTGTTACCAGCTCTTCCAGTAGCTGCAAAACTCCTTGCAGGTGTTGAGATAGAATCAGGTGGAAGGAAAAGCATCAGAGCTTTTAAATAAATGGAATACTTGAGTATGGCTAGCTTGCAGACCTTGGAAACAAAAGCGTGTAATTGGGGAGCTACACTGGAAATAATCTTTGCTCTTAAGTTCAAAGAGTTGTGTATACTTGGTGTTTTAGTGGGGTCATATCACAGAAGAACATAATTTTTCAGTGAGGGAAGGAGGAACCCTCAGGCATGCAGTTTTCTTAAGCTCTCCTACAGTGCTGCATTTAGAATGAGCAATTCTGAACCACCCACTGAATGACTCTAAAAGTCCTACTGGATGAGTAGGTAGGTTACTACAGCAGTAGATAATGCTTTGTAGTATATTTTATTTGCAGTTCAAATGTACATTTTGCATGTCCTACAGTAACTGTAAGTTTAGTAAGACTGTATATGTGATATCTGTTGCCATTTTTGTACTAAGGCTGGTTTTGATATTCTTTCTCCCCATTAATAGATGATTTGGAGAATAGGAACTGAAATTTTGTGGCATCATTCCCAGAGCAGTGTGAAAGAGTTCAGCTGTTTCATGGAACAGATGAAAACTTTAGGAGTAAAAAGGTACTTGAAGGTGAGTGTACTTAAAGCAGCCCTGATGATTTTTCACTTTTACTTGAACACTTGAATATTAATTTCCAAATCTCTTTTGAAATGTACTACTGACATCAGTGTCAAAAAAACTCAAACCCAACATTTGAATTACCAATTCCATGATATTCAAAGGTCATTTTATACCTAACCTTATCTCATTTGTCTGTATGTTTGATCACAGATGTATGTTCTCAGTCCTTAGAAGTGCTTAAAAACACTTTCATATTTGAATTTGAACCAGTCAAATTCATTTTCATGCATGAAAATTATCTGCCAGGTTTTGTTTCCAGTCTATAATTTGACAGCTTTGCTGGTGATTAAACATTTGTTCTTAAATTTTGCCTCATTACCCTCTCACTTTTTGAGTAGCTAATCTGATTATAAAACTGTATGTTGTACACACCTGTGTCACACAGCTGTGGGGTTTTTTAAATAGGTTTTTTCCCTGTGGTGGCTCATTCAAACCTATGTTGTTTTGGTTTCCTTGGTTGTTTCACACTTGGGATGGTGCTTCTCTGTCTTTTATCCTGTTCTTAAAGGTCTTCAAAAAAAGTCCCATACAAGGGTTTTCTGGAGCTAACTGAAGGTGTAGGTTTTTATCTTATGATGCCAAATCAACATGGTAGGATGGAAGGACATCCCTCTTTCAGGTGCTCTGAAAAATCAGCAAATGCAGCACAGCTGTGTTTCCTCAGGTCATTTTTTAGATCTTCTGAAATAGGTACAGAACTTTTAAAGAACGAGAGGCTTTTGAAACAACACAAATAATTTAATTTCTTAATTACCTGTGTTGGAAATATTTTTTTTGTATGTCAATGAGTCTCCTCTTTGTCTGCACATGTGTATAGAACTTCGTATTCCTGAGAATCTCTGCATTTGAGTGTAGAACGCTGTGGTTTGGACTGTTTGGGTTGCAGGTTTGCTTGGAGCATGTCTTTCATCTCCTCTGTAATGGGCAAATAGATGAAGCCTACCAGAACCTGTCCTTGGCAGAAAGCTGGAGGTTTGGAGAGCAAACAGCCATCCAGGATAAGGAAATGAAGCTGATTCAGGCTTACAGGGGACTCTTGGACTACTGTAGCTGGTCTAAGCAGAAGAGCATCCTGTTAGAGCACGGTAAGTGTTTTTTGGATTGAGCTGTAGCTTCAGCTTGCTCATGCAGATGACATGCTTTGCAATGACACCTTTTCCTTTACTAGACTTCAGTGTGTGATGGTGTGGCTGGTACAGAATTCTGTATCACCAGTGATGGTGGTGCCAAGATAGCACTTTCTGAAGTGCCCTGAAATGCTGTTCTGAAACTTCTCCCCATGTCCAGTCAGCATCACCTAAAATAATGATCAAAGGAATTTATTCCCTTAAAGCAGTGGTTTAATAGGTGTGCAAGTGCTTGATTGCTGCTAGAATGTTGAGTGATAGCAAAGCCCTCAACACTTGTGTTTGAATTTCAGTTTCCTTAAAGAAGTGGAAGTTGCTACATGTGTCACATACGGTTCTATATATACCTGCTGGCAGTGTTTTATCACTTGCACTAGATCTCTTTCTCTGAAAACCAGAGGTTGGTTGAATTTGTATAATGGGCCTTGTGCTGGTAGCATCTTCTCTTGGAGTCCTACTCATTGTGCTCCATGAATTGAAATTAATTATAAATTTGAATGAGGAACAGTGAAAACTTCTTGTTTTAGTACTGTGGAGTCTTCTCTTAAAAACTCTCTGACTAGGGTCCTTGCTTAGCAAAATGTAATCATCCCTTAGGTGCAGCACTTCAAGATCCCTGTGCTTGGTGGAGTTAATAACTTTGTGACCTTCCTTTGTGTTTTGGTAGGTGAGGATGAATTTTCAGACTTGGCTGTTGAGCAGGAAATGCACAGTTACTTCCGGAAGGCAGCAGTGAACTTGAAGGAGATTATTAAAATACCTGGAGTCTGGGATGTCTTTGTGAAATGTTATGTGGATGTAAGGGCATGTTTTACAGATGGCTTCTTTTTGTATTTCCCTGTCTAATTTTCATTAAGATGCCCATGTGTAGATTATTTTCTGTGTGTATGAGTGAAAACCAAGTATTTCAAAAGCAACACATTTGTATGTGCATGTCACTGGCTTTTGATATAGGGCACAGTGTACTCCTGGTAGAGCTGCAGAGCCTGAGCACAATACAAAATCTGTGCATTGTCAAGAAAAATAAATAGGCAAATAGCTTACATGTTTTGTTTTTGTGGTGCTGCAGAAATTGGAGCATAGCTGATTTAGTTTAAGTTCCTGAAAACACTTTGATTTTTGTAAGGGCAGTGTTTTCTCTGGATACACAAAATGTTAGAGATGTCAAATATGCAGCCCCTCTGTGTTTTGGTTTGGGTTTTCTAAATACCTGCTTAGGATTTGTAATTAAGAATTAGTAATTTTAAAGAGATCTTTTACTTTTTGTGAACACTGATAAGATCTGACTTCTCTAAGCACATCTTAAGAATTTTTCTTGGTGCTAGCATCTGCCAAGTTCTGTCTCTGGAGATATGGCAGGTGCCTTCAGCATCTCTTTCCAGTAAGCAAGGGATGATAATCTTTTGACAATTAAGTAGGTGTTAAGGCATTTTCTCTCAGAGTAGCTTCTGTTTGTGAATTCTTGTCTCTCTGTGCTGAGAGTAGCCAGTTGAATTAAGACAGGCAGGTATTTAATTATCTAATACACTGCACTCTCAGGTACAGGCTGTGCTACTGGATGTCTCTGTGGCAGTCCAAAATTAGTTCTAAGAGTTTGGTTACCTGTATCTGACAAAACTAATGACAGACTTCACTTCCAGCTGCTGGAGTTCTATGGAGATCACAACGAGGCTCGTCAAGTGTTAAATGAATATGCCTACAACTCCAAGTTCCCTGCTAACCCCAATGCTCATGTCTACCTCTACCAGTTCCTCAAGAGACAGGGTGAATCAAAGAAATCCCTCATATCTGCACTGAAGGTAGGTATCCCTTAGGAGACACAGTCTGTGTCAGTCATTAAGTGGTCTGACAGCTTGCTTGAGCTCTCTAACATTATTTATCCTATTGTATTCTTTGTGGGAAGTAGAGAGTTAGAGGGAAGTTAGTGAGAGGGAGCAGAATCCTTTACTGTCTTTGAATTCCACTTCTTGTTTTGCCTTTAACTGGTACATCATTTCACTTAATGGCAGTAAGCAAGTTCAGAGAACATGTTCACATGGTTCCAGAAGTCTGTATCAGCAGCCTGTGTATAGCATGCATTGATTTCTCTTACAGTTTGATCTTTACAGTATTGTACAAATCATTAAATGCCTCTCTTTCACATATTGATCCTGTCTAGCAATTAGTTTCTTGGCTTGTTTTCAGCGAGCTGTGCATTAAAGCTAAAAGTTAATGTCTGCTGGTTGCTGGCAGACAAGACCTTGTAGGGTTAAGCTTTTAAATTCCTGCTTTCCTTGTCCTTGGTACGCCTTGCAAACCATGTTTTGCCACTTGGTGGCACTAATGTGCTTTGTTAGTTCAAGTGTTGTTTAAAAACAGGTTTGTAAGGCTGTTTTGTTTCATTTAGACTTTGAAACTGTAGCAGGTTTGTTTGAAATTCTCCTCTGCATTTTAACAGTGGTTTTGACATGAGTCTCTCAGAAGACAGAGATAAATCACAGAAATAGTTTGGTAATTCCAGAAACTGATCCAATGCAGCAGAGAACTGTCCTAGGGAGAAAAATTACATTACCTTCAAAAAAGGGAACACTGGATATGAATTTGGGTTTCTCCTTTTTAATTTTGTATTTGCCACATGCAGTGTTTGTCAGCAGCCATCAAGGTATTTCATCTATAGTGTCACAGATGTGCAGAGTGGACCTAGAGATGCATTCTTTATATCAAGGCACCAAAGTACCAGATTGCTTAATTTTCTGAGCTAAAAGCATCCAAACCACTGAAGCCTGTTCTTTTCTTGGTCAGAAGTCTTCAAAAGTTTTCACATTAAAATAAGCTATCTGGGTTTTGTCTTTTATTTTTCAGATCTTGCATGATATTGTTCCTTCTCATGAGCTAATGATAAATTTTAATACCATGCTTCAAAAATCAAGTAAGTCTTTACTTTTCTTCATTTCATTTATGCTAATTTCAAAAAACTATTCTGAATTATCCTACAGACTTCTCTTTGCTTTTTAAAGTAGTTTTGTTTCTTAAGAAATAATCCTAAAAAAATACATCAAATCCCAACTTCCCAATTACCATAATCTCTTAGTTGGATGTATGAGCAATCATTTACAAACTTGTGTAAACAAATGCCTTTTTTTATTTTAAAGGCTGAACAAAGCAAATTGTTGTAAAACACAGGCAGGATCTCAAAACCAATTTTTTTAGACACCCTACTTCTAATTCCAAGGTTTTCATTCCATTTTTGGTATCTCTGTTTTATTTATTCTTTTTTTTTCTTTGAATATATCTATTCCTTAGTTTATTGTTAATAATCAAACAACAAAATTTTCCTTCTCTTTAAAGAAGCATTATCTTCAAGATGGTAGAAAAGTCTTCCAGTCTGAAGACTATTTTTTTCCATGCTGATCAATTGTATTCCAAGCTCTCTGTCTTCTTGTGGCTTGGTGTGTCCCTGCAGGTCAACAGATTGGTGAACTGTACATTAATAAGATTGTTCTCTCTTCTGATATGATATGGCTTAATGGCTTCAAATTGACAAGGGAAGATTTAGAATAGATTTTGGGAGGAAATTCTTGATTGTCAGGGTGGTGAGGCACTAGCAGAGGTTGTCCCGAGAAGCTGTGGATGCCCCATCCCTGGAAGTGTTCAAGGCCAGGATGGATGGGGCTCTGAGCAACCTGCTCTAGTGGAAGGTGTCCCTGCCCATGCAGGTGGTTGGAACTTGATGATTTTTAAGGTCTTCTCCAACCCAAACCATTCTGTGATTCTTCTTTGGGAGGGGGAAAAAAAGAGAACTTTTGTCTGAAACCTCCCTTTTTCAGTTCATATGTGACACATTTGCCAACTTTTCATAACTGTTGAGAACAACCTTTTTAAAGTTGGAATTTTAAAAGACATTTATACCAATAAACATAACTTATGTTTAAAGTAGCAGCATTTGCAGGGTCAGAGTGGAGAACTGTATTTCACTTGTGCCTTACTAATGAGTTCATCCTGATCTGTGTAATTCATTAATCAGCCTCATCTTTTTCCAGAGAAAAGAAGAAAACGTCGACTGGGCCTAGAAGTTATTTTTGCAGGCTTGGATTATGCTGGCTGGAAAGAAAATGAAAAAGCATGGAGCTGTTTGGCAAGACAGGTGAAACAAATTGTAATGTAAGTAGCTGTGATGCAAGGTGTTGAAATAAATGTGTCAAGTCTCCACCTTTGGGTAGTCCACATGGTGATCCTCTGTGCTCTAACTTTGCCTTCAGTTTTGCCTTTCAAACAGGACTTCTGAGTATCTTGAAATATACTGGGCATTTTGGTCATTGTATGGGAATGTCACTTCCCTGTTGCAGATAGTTTTATAGAATGCTAAAACAGTTTGGGTAGGAAGGGACCTTAAAGATCACCTTGTTCCAGCCCCCCTGCCATGGGCAGGGCCACCTCCCACTAGAGCAGCGTAGTGAGCTGCCCAAGGCTAGATGCCAGGCATCCACCAAAGCTGCTCTATCCATCCCCTCTGCAACTGGATGGGGAGAGAAAATACAACAGAGTGTTCATGGGTTGGGAAAAGGACAGGGAGAGACCACTCACCAAATACAAATACTAGATTGGGCAAAACAGGCCCAGGGCCTCACCATCAGAGTGAAAAATTTCTTCCTAATATCTAATGTAAACCTGTTGTTTGCCAGCTTAAAACTGTTCCTGACCCAGGGCCTTACCATCAGAGTGAAGAATTTCTTCCTAATATATTATCTAAACCTCCTTGTTCTCTTTCTCCCTGCCCTTTCAAAAATTCCCTCTTCATGTTCTTGCAGGCTCCATTGAGGGGCTGGAAGAAGTTTGTGTTGCTGAAATGCTTGGTTTAAGGGCCTTACTGCCTAACAGTAGTAACTGTTTGGGATGAGTTAGTCTTTGAGTATGCCTGGAGTAACACAAACCTTTCCTAAGGACAAAGCAACCCCTTCATACTAGATATTTATTGACAAACCTGGAGAAACTTCCATATTACTATTGACAAACTGGCACATGAGTGAAAGGCTTGCTTCATTTCACACCATAATCTGTGCTATTGCCAAGGCTTAGTAAGACTGCTCGAGTTCACTTCCAGCCTCACAAGTGTTTCCAGGGATTAAAAAAATCAGTAGTTTTATACAAAAATGCTTGTATTAGTGTTTTGGTATAAAGTCAGTGTGTCTATGTTGGCAGTTTAGGAGATTTGTAGCAAGATGACTATAATATTTGCTATCTCCTAATAATCTTTGCATTACATTTTAGCCTCTCCTGTAACTTGTTTAACCTTTTTCCAGCTCTGAGAAGCATCTTGACTGGATCAAGCAGGAGTGGAACTCCAGGAAGGACTGGTGGCCAGCCTTCCATTTTAGCCGTTACTTGGCAAAAAGGAACTGGCAGGAAAATAAAAACCTTTCATATGAAAAAGCTCTGGTGGCTGGAATCCTGCTGGGAAAGGGTATATATATATTTTTTTTTGTTGTTGTTTTTTTTCACTACATAGAACAGAAATAATGACTAGTTCTAGTCCTAATGACATGGGATGCAGCTGATCTGCTGCCTGGAAGAAATGCAGTTTCTTTCTTCTAAAAAAGATTGTCTTTGGAGCTGAACACGAAAAGTATTTAAATTGGTTTGATGTGTACCAGTGAGACAACTGGTCTTATTGTGGTTTAGAATTCAGTTTTAACTGGCCTCATTGAGCAGCCACAATACTATTTGTCTTGTTTGACCTTCAAACTATAACTCCAAAAATGCATGACACCCCTCTCCTGAGGGAATATTGTGAGGAGTTTGCTTGCTGGATGCCAGCCTAGGCAGTGTCTCAGCAATAGTGGGTGTCAGCTGGTCATTAAGGACCGTGGGGATGTTGTAATGCAGACAGAGGAGGGAGGCTCTGAATGAAAAACATGATCAGTTTGGTAAGAAGGTGAAGATCATTATCTCTTTAGTAGGATTTATTTGAAATGCTGCCAAAACCAAGGGAGGATCAGGCCAAGAATCAGCTGCTAATTTGAATATGGTGTGGAGACAATGGCTTGTACACTGGTTTGGACTTCTGGTTGATGGGCAACAGGTTCATTGTCAGCTTTTCTATAAGTTTTTCATCTGCACTCTGTAGAACAATTTCTTATATTGGAAGCTCTTTGGATGTTTTTTGTTGAGCTTTCAGTAGTATCAGATATTTCTCTTTTATTTCCACATGGCAAATAAAAGCATTCCTTGAATTTTCTTGAATGAAGTTTCAGTACTTACTGGTGTCAATGTAAGCCTCTTTTTTCCTTTCCATCATAATAAATCAACGTATGATATCAATGCTGCTTTACACTTGAAATTTTACTTTCTGATCTAATTTGCAGAGCAAAAATGAAAGAGAAAAACATAGTTTGCAAGATAACAGGCATTTAGATACATGTCAAAAGTTTGCTGGGCTAAGTAAGGATAGATTATTTAATGCTGCAGTTACGTCTCTAATGAGCATGTCTTAGATTTTAATACCTTTAATTACCGCAAAGTTTCATAGCTGTTTGCATATTATTTAAACAACAAAAGCATTTTGTGTTTGCTTGTATGATGGTGTAACTTAGTGTTTATTTTTCTTTCCTTAGATTGCAAATACTTTAAATATGTATCACACCAAGGCAGCAAAGCTCAGCTGAAAAGGTTTCGGATGCTGAAGAAGTTTGTGACCAGGCACAATGCTGTCTACTTGAGAATATCTGGTCCTCCAGTTTCTTCTCTTCCGCCTTGATGAGAAGGTGTCCCTAAGGTTCTTGGTACTTTTTCCTCTCTGTAAAGCTGACCTTTGTGTTGGTGTTACTCCAGAACCTCCAGGCAGACCCTATAGACTCATTACTAGGCTTTTTAAAAAAATATATTTATGTAAAAACGCTTTGGTTTGTATTTATTTTATAATAAAATGAATATAAATCAACTGTTAATGTCAAAGAATTTCTGTAACATTGTTCTCATATTTGTGTGAAATGCAAACAGTATTGATTTCAAATACATCTTGAAAGAGCAGAGGCACAGAAATTCTGAGAAATTCTCTACCTGCTGGAAGACTTTTTTTTGCAGTCATGCCCATGAGTTGAAATATGCGGTGTTGCTGTGTTCAGAAAGCAATCGTTGATGTGTTATCACAAACCAGAAATCCAGTTTGCTTGAAAACAACAACAAAATGGTTTCCAAATACTACTTCTGTTTTAATGCCAGATCTGCAGAATTCTGGAGGGTGAAGTGCTTGAGTGTCCTTCTGGGATTGAAATACAGATGTCTTTAGCAGCAGGATAAATACAGCTGTGATTTTAAAAACTCAGTGTTTATCTGGGATTTTGTTCTGGGTCTTGTGAGAAGTGCCTTAATGACAATTTGTCTTAAACATTAAGTGAAATACTTGCTGTACCTATGTTTTGTTAAAGGCAATTACTTGTCATTCCCAACTCTAGTGCTCGTTCACTTCTGACTTCCTAAGATTGCTGCTGCCTCACTGTGTAAGAGCCAGAGAGTTGTGTTGGAGATCTTCAACTGGGTTTGGACTATTTTAGTTTAGATTGTGAAGTTTCAAAATGTTCTTCCCCAGCATCCCATAAGGTGTCCCCCAGCCCTGCAAAGCAACCCCTCCTTAGGCGAGAGGTGATCCAGACTTGCTCCCAAGTGTCCATCTCAGTGGGGCTCATGCCTGAACGTGGGCCTAAAGCTGTCCTGGGACAGCTCTGGCAGGCAACCAGGTGTCCCTTCCCTTCCAGAGACATGGTGTCCCTTCCCTAGAGTCTTTAATTTGGCTTCCTGCTCGCTATTGTGCCCCTCTGCTCCCCCAGACTTGCCAAGATGGACTTTGATGAGCTGATGACTCTCCTGTGATATCCCTGAGAGCATCCCAGCAGGGTGTTGCTTGGGCTTCCCCCTTCCATTATCTGTCTGTGTTCCTTTGTAGGTATGCATAGGAGATTTTAGCATTAACCCAACACAAGCAGCATAAAAGCTGAATGCTGGAAGCCCTGGTGCTTGATGGGAGCTCCCATGTAATTTCCTTTTGTCCCCTGACCTTCCTGTGGGAGATGTGTCTTGCAGCAGCTGAGACTCTACCGAGGAAGAAATGTGAAACAAAGCATCAGAGGTTGGGGTGGAGATAAGGAGAGTGAGAGGATAAAGAGCTTGATGTCTGAAAAATCTGCTGATCTGTTGTGGTACTCCCAGCTTTCTCCTGTGACCTCTGGAGGCAGGATTGCTGTGGGGGATGATGCCCTCTCCAGGTGCTAGAACCATAATGCTGCAGTCAGCAAGTACAAGAGTACACTCACAGCTTTTGTGTAACTGTGCCAAGCATTGCTCTTCCATGTCTTGCAAGAAACTTGCTGTTTCCTGACACCACAGTACTTGCACCTGAGACAAACCAGCAGATCACAAATTCGGAGTGAAATCTCTGTGTGTGCTGTGTTTTCAAACCTGTGTGTTGTATTTTGAATGGGATAACTCTTAGTGGATTGGAATGGTTGTCTTTGGCTTTGATTTGGTTTTCCTATCAATTTTCCTCCCCATCCTGTGGGCAAAGCTTCTCTGAGGCTTTTTTTTTTATCATGCATGAAAGAAGTATGTCCCTTTCAATGTGGCTGTGATCAAAGTTATCTTGTCCTGTTTATGGAAGAGCAAATTTAGGTAAGTGTCATCCTCCAACACAGGCTGAGGACAATGTGTACAAAAACCTGCATCCCTAGCTGATGGGAAGGGCTTGCTCAACCATTATTCACCAGAGGAGAAACTGTGCAAAGGTTTCATGCATTTTAAATCAGTTTAATGTCAAGTGGGATCAAACCCAAAAACACAAAAATCAATTGTCTTAAGTACTGGATTACCACAGAATATCCTTAATGTGCCATAAGACCCTGTGCTTCTGAAGCTTTGTGTCCATCACTTCTAGAGCAGGACCAGGCACTTACTCCCTTGGCTCTTAGGAATGTTTTCCTGCATTTTCTGGCACCCCTTGTTTGCTTTAGTCCAGATGGGGCTGTGTCAACTCTGCCTGGTCTGTTTGCACTTGGCAGGTGTGCCCAGGCTGTGCAGAGCTCCTCGGAGACTGAGCACCATCCTGACAGCTCCAGCTCCTGGAGTCACTGTGGTCTCCTCATGAGCAGTAAAATCTCTTTTGCTTTTACTGCTGTTTATAGGATTTTTCCTGGGGCTAGCTGGCTTCTCTGCTGAGCACGGTGAATCCAGCATTCCCTGCCTCCTACCCGCATGGCAGGAAGTGTGCTGGCACGGACAGCAAGCCACACAAACTGCTGCTTCCAAAACATTGCCAGGGCCACTGTCATGTGCCTGATGGCAACTCCGACTTCCCGAGGAACCTGCCAGGAAAGCTGATGGCAGCAGTGCTGTTTGTCTCCACTTCGGCTTGCCTCTGCAGCAGTACTCTTTGAGACAGCGGGGTGGCACCAAATTCCTTCTGTCCTGAGCAGAGAGGAAATGAGTTAGAATGTAATGTTAAAATCAGAGAGGAGAGAGATGAAGGGGAAAAAAAAACAAAACCCTTACAACCCACCAGAAATCCCCACAATCAATGCCTGCAACCCTGCTTTAGTAACCTTTTCAAAAAACTGAAATGGTGTAGAGGAAGCGCTCTTGCCACTGTCTGAAGGAGAATGGTAATCACAAGAAAATATGATGCCTTAGGTCATACTTTGCTTTGCTTGGTGCTGTCGAGCACGCCAAATTGGAAGAACCTGCTCTTATTTGTCCTACAGCAGTTCCCTTGGTGGCTAACAGAGAACACAGGTGTGTTGTGGTTCTTTGTACCTCTCTTCCTGTCACTTAACGTGCAACATCTTTACCTCAGGGAAAATGTGTTCGGTTGGTTTTTGTTTTGGTGCTTTTGTACTGTGGGAAGTTGTCAGGAGACTGACGAGAGGAGCACAGACACATTTCCCTCCCTCTGTGCCTGTTCCTCTCCTTTCTCACCCCTCTTGCTGCAGCACTGTTGTATCCAAAGAAAATCCCAATGAGGGTCACATTCACCAGCTGCTGTTGGGACAGGGATTTTATGGCTTGCCAGCCCTGTGTCAGCCTCTTGAATTCTACCTGTGCTGCACTCCAGGTGCCTAAAATGCTTTCATGCCTCTTCCACCAGAGGCAAATGAGAACAGGGAATTGGTGTGTGCCTATGGAATAAATAAACTTCCCTAACAATCTCTCAGATGCCTGCATCTGCCTTTCTGTTTTCCAAGGAGAGCTCCACGAGGGAAGTGTAAATACAAGCCTGTTCCAGTGAAAACAAAGAGCAAGTGGATACCATTTCTTCCACATGCAAGAAAGTTGTCAGGCTTTGATTTTAATGAGAAGCAAAACATATACATAAACTTACAGGCATGTGATTGAAAACTTCAGGAATCTTAACAACACTGAGCAGGAGCAATCCTGAAGTTTGATTATCACATTTAGCATGATATCAAACACAGCTTCTGCTGTCTACTTGATGCTGTGCCTTTGCTTAGTCCCAGTCCCTGATTTTTTTTTCCTAAGTTTTCAATCTTCATTTTTCTAAGCTGTGTTCTGTCTAAAAGTCCCATGCAGCTGGGGTAGGAGTTAACATCTTGAGTAGAAACCAGTGTTTAGCAAGTTGATATTATCTTGTCTGGGATTTCCAGATATTAGTGTATTATGAACAATTCATATTGTTAAGTCTGCTAGAGAAGTGTGCAAGGTTTCATTACATTCTGTCTGGAAGTAATTTTTCTTAAAGACACATCCATAATTTCTAAAATAAATAATTTTACTTCCAAGAAAAACAAGGGTCTTTTAATGGAAGAAAGGTTTATAGTGTGCATTTCTTCTTTCATAATTTCAGCTGTTTTTCTTGGCTGTACCTCTAATAAGTGTTTTTATCAGTCATATCTCTCAATTAGCCTTTTGCCTCAAAGCAGGAATGCTGAACCATGTTAATTACTTTCCTCAGTGACTATCCTTGAGCTGCTAAACAAACCTTCAACAACCACACCTCAAAAAAAATCTTCTACCTCACTGAAGCCACCCCAAAAGTTTCTTCTGAGAAAGCAAAAAAGACCCCACCCACCAAAATAAAATCATCAACAGTAAAAACAGATCCATCTGGTAAAGAGAGAAAGAGAGTCAAAGCTGAGGCTAAACCTCACAAAGGAAAGAAGAGTGGACACAACTCCAGAACTGCACCAGCACCACCTTTGCCAAAAAAGAAGAGATCCCACCTAGCCAGAACAAGAGGTTCTTCCAAAGAAAGCAGCTCTAGCTAAGGGAAAAGTGGAGAAGAGGAGGAAGAGCTTTTGAAGTTCAGTGATGTCTCAGAAAAAGCAAGCCTATAAAATGATGAAACAAAAGTGTTGAATAGCAACCAAATAAAAGAGATTCTGGCTGACTTGTTATCAAGTGCTCTCAGGTGTGCCCCTATTAATGGCAGTGTTAGCAATCTCTGTATATGTTCTATTAAACATATTAAACTTTAACAGCACCATCTTCCAAATCCTGCTGTGATGTCCTTTTTTGACATAACTGGTTATGAGAGCCTATGATGGACATTCTCTGGTAAGATTTGGCTGTGTATGACTGTCTAATAAATGCAAATGACTCTAAACTTCAGGGCTTTAATCTTCTATTGAAGAATATGGAATTGACATGTCAATTACCTCAACTTTTTTTTTTTTTTTCCTTGAAATTCAGGGAAAAGTGTGTCAAGAGTAGTTGTCTTTCAGACAATGAAATTAGATTTTATTTTTTGAAGGAGGACCACTAAGATGCTCAGAGGGCTGAAGCATGTCTCCTATGGGAGAACTGGGGTTGTTCAGCCTGGAAAAGAGAAAGCTCCAGGGAAATCTTATAGCAGCCTTCTGTTCCCTGAAGGAGGCCCACAAGAAAGCTGGAAAAGGACTTTTTACAAGGGCAGGTAGTAACAGGACAAGGGGGAATGGCTTCAAACTGACAGAGGGGAGGTTTTGATTAAATATTAGGAAGAAATTCTTCACTGTGAGGGCAGTGAGGCGCTGGCAAAGGCTGCTCAGAGAGGTTGTGGATGTACCATCCTTGGAAGTGTTCAATGCCAGGTTGGATGGGGCTCAGAGCAACCTGCTCCAGTGGAAGGTGTCCCTGCCGATGGCACGGGCTTGGAATGTGATGATCTCTAAGGTCCCTTCCAGCCCATGTTATTCTATGAATATTTTTTTCAAGGTACGGATCACCTCCAGCTTTCCTAGGCTCCAGAAAGGGCTGGAAATGTTCTGAAACACCAACACAATCAAAGCACCAGAATCCAAGCAACCCCCCCAAAACCCGGCGTTAGAGCCGAGCCA